TGGGATACTCAACGAACAGTAATGACGTGTGCACAGAAGATGAAGAATTTCAGTTGTTGAGAGCTGTTACCAAGTAACGACAAATGACACTGCAGGCTGGAAAAGATTTAAGGGGCCCATACACGTACGAGTCTGGTTTGCGAGTCCGACTCGGCTCGGGTTCCAACGAGCTAAACTCGTCCGTGTGTGGGTGGCACAGCTGGCAGGCAGCTCATGCGTGTGTGGTTAAATTAATCCGAGCCCCGCTCCCGAGTGAAGCTCGCCGAGCCGGACTCGCGAGTCAGACTCGTACGTGTATGGGCCCCTTTAGCGTATAGTGATTTATACAGTGAGGAAATGAGCGATAATGTTATAGTTATTTGTAGTTACGGCATGCAAGTAGTCAATAAATCTATTCAGCAATCCATACCCGAAGGAGAGAACATCTGGCAGGATCTTCAGATAGACCCTAGGGCTGGAGATCGCAAAGAGAATAGCCGAATCTTCCGTCAGGATGCGAAAAATGAGTGTCAGGACATTGTGGTGGGGTCGAACCCTCCGGAACGAAAGATAAAACCACTTACAACAAAATAAGAGTCGGAGATGTATGAACACTGGCCATTCTCGGAATTTTTGTCCTCATTGATCAGGAAAGCAGGATGATGATGATACATGTGGTGCGACTGGCACTTTATCAGGAAGCCGCTCGGGAGGAGCGACCTTAAGGATGAAGCAGCTGGAGCAGTTGGAGAGTAAACAACTTGAAAACCGAGCCACGGGGAGGAAAGTGAGATCAAACACAAGCACAGCCTTCAGAAAAGAAGAAATGGCGATACGCTAAAATATTTTTAAAAATATTTGGAATTCAGAAGTAAATCTGATAAAATATGACAAGAAAAATAGCAATAACATACAAATAAAAAGCCAGTATGAATGTTTGAAAGTATGCATGTGTCTGTTATACTAAACAGAGTTCTTCAGCGTTCGATATCATATTTGTTAGTTTGGGTTTTAGGTGTGATTCAGCGTTCGCTCCTCTTGTTTTGGCATTTGGACCTTATTTGGCCACAGGTAATGAAGACCCGGCTTCACGCAGCGACACTGTAGCAAATGGCATAAAACGCTACTGCTCAGCCTGAAAGTTGTGTGTGCGTTTAACTTTTATGGAATCAGAAGTCGGTTAGTAATGCCTTTTAAATTCTGATCGAAATGTGTCGTCACAGGAAAACTCCAACATGCACGAATTTGCTGGAAAAATTAGACGGCAAAGGCAAAGTTATCCATTTTTTTCTTGTGGCGCTACAGCCCCAATTTTGGCCTACGCCTACCTCCATGAAACTCTCCGTTTCACTTCGGTTTACTAGATCTTACACATACGGTAGGACTCCTTGGGCGAGTGATCAGCTCGTCGCAAGGCCTCTACCTGTAGACAAACACAGAAAAACGCACACAAACATCCATGCCCTGAGTGGGATTCGAACCCACGATCCCGGCTTCCGAGCGAGCGAAGACAGTGCATGCCTTAGACCGCTCGGCTACCGTGACCGGCAAAGTTATCCATGGGCTTGAGTAATTAAGCATCAGGACATGAAGATGTGGAGGTATAGCTCCACCATTCTTAACCTCGGCACTAACAAATTTCATGGCAGCTTACTTACTTACTTACTTACTTGTATTTCAGTATGAAGATATTACGCTGTTCTGTTTCGGCTACATACCAATATACAAATTGTTTCTTCTAGCTAAGAAAATGTCTAATATCATTTTTATGTCATATTTTTATCAAGGATCAACTAATTTTAAGAAAGAAAACTTTGAAATGTTGGAAATTTACTGAAATTGTCTTTCCCTAGGAGACTAAAAAGAACTGAAACTTTTTAATCATTGTGTTGCCTTTGTCTCTTACGTTAAATACTTTTTTTTTAATTCGCTTAGTTGGGGGTGGAGTCCAACTGGGTCCACTCGGCACGGCGGCCACTGATTGGCCTATTGTAGCCTGCCCCGGGTGATTATGGTGATGGAAAATTTGTGGAATGAGGATTGGCAAGAGAAACCGAAATACTTGGAGAAAACCCGCCCCAGAGCCACTTCGTCCACCACAAATTCCACTTGACCAGACCCCGGGATCGAACCTGGGCCGCCGCGGTGGGAAGCCAGCGACTAACGCTTTGACCTATGGCGCGGCCTTAAATAACTTTACCAACATTTCTTGAAGATATCTAAATTCGAGTTGCAGGTGTGACAATTTGAGGGTCCAGAATTTTCAAAGTTTTTGTTACCTTGAAATGGACTACCAGTCACAGTAGAAGGCAAGAAATCCTCATCAGTAAATATGTTTGTATTAAACGTCCATATTGCCGTTACCAGAAATCCATACTTGATGTTCTTTGGTGTGAGTGCATTTGACAACGACTTGTTCACTATGGATGGCATGTCATATATTGTCATAGTTATTCCAAGATGGCTTCTTAACCGTGAGTCGTACTTGCTATTCACGCACTTTCTGAAATGTACATGAAAGGACCTACCTAAGGGTTGTAATTTGTGAGTGGTGTGAGGTAGGAAAAACAGTACGAGTAATACCGCTCTAGTTTCCTTAAAAGGCGAAGTACTCTTAAGGAAACACGTGGGTGATGACTGCCCAGTAGAAGTAATACAGGTTGATATTTCTTAACCGTAGTATACTCTCTGAAATGCTTCATGAACAATAGAAAATCGTCGCTTATCATCAATCCTGACTTATTTGCAGATCTAGCACTGTCTTCTGATCCATTTGCAACAGAATAACCGCGAAGGTTCTTTCTTGGAAATACAAAGAATGGCGGAATAGAATTCCCACGTACACTTACGGCCATGGCCATGGTGGCCATAGAACCTCTTTTTTGAGGATATCACTGCTCCAACCTACTTCACACCTTTCCTTGCTAAGATTCTAATTGGTTCACATTATAAATGTCTTGGCACTGAAATTTGTACTTGTTATACTTTACTTAAACTGGCTTAGAGATCTCAACACTGCCTAGTGAAAATAGTTGCTCTGCCTGCAATTGTAGCCAGCGGAGTGCGAATGGACATTGTGTTCTCCCGTTTAAGGAATGACGACAGCCGGTCACAAGAAGCATGCTGTTTGTCACACGACCCAGCTGGAATTATCACATTATTTTTTACAGCATACTGATGAGCTAGGTTTCTCACGTCTTTCCTATTTGATTGCTTGAAAAATCTCTGGATTTTCGAGATTATTAACGGTGATCCATGATGTAGGAGTTGGTGAATGTATAATGCCGATCACAATGGCCGCACGGTCTAAGGCATGAACTTTCTTCGCTCTCTCGAACGCTAGGATCGTGGGTTCGAATCCCACTCAAGGCATGGATGTCTGTGTGCGTTTATTCTGCGTTTCTGTTGTCCTTTGTGTAGGTAGCGGCCTTGCCACGGACTGATCCACGTTCCAAGGAGTCCTACCGACTGCTTATAGGCTTTAGAAACTAAAAGAGCAGCCAAGGTCCAACAAAGGGCTGTGGAGCCATAGATAGATTGTACAGCGTACAAATTAGAAATGGATAAAACCGAAGATTTTTTTTTTTTAATTTTTCTCATGGGGTGAGACTGAGTCCACTTGGTACTGCGGCCACTGTTTGGCCTGTTCTACCAGCCCCAGATGATAGATGATGATTGTGGAGCAATCGGTGGAATGCGAATTGGCAGGGGAACCGAAGTACTCAAAGCCTGCCCCAGTGCCACTTATTCCACCATAAATCCCATATGACCTGAACCGGGATCGAACCCGGGCCGCCGCTTTAGGAAGCCGGCGACTAACCGCTTGAGCTATGGCTATAGCTCACCGAAGAGGTTACTTCGGTACTGCTTTTTTTTTTCCTTGGCACTACAGCCCCAGTGGGCCTAGTCCTATCTCCATGAATTTCTCCATTCACTTCGGTTTTTCTAGATCTTACACATACGGTAGGTCTCCTTGGGAGGGTGATCAGCTAGTCGCAAGGACTCTACCTGTACACAAACACAGAAAAACGCACACATACAAACTAAACATCCATGCCCTGAGTGGGATTCGAACCCACGATCCCGGTTTCCAAGCGACCGAAGATAGTACATGCCTTAGACCGCTCGGTACTGAAAATACTACCTCAAATAACATGCATTAGTCCGATACTGGCACCGGTTCTCTTGTCAGAGAATATGTTTATCAGTCGATTTAAAAATAACCACGCTGGTTCTCTGAAAAAGTTGGGCGCACTTCCTCTTACGTGTGTCGAAAACGAAGCCATATTTCACAACGAATCATTTAATGGGGCACGCTTCGTGTATTCAGTAATAGGGTCTAGAACGTTTCCTTCGACTAAACAACTGACTCGGCGATGGACTCAATAACTGACTAACGGATTGAGTAATTAATAAACATATTGGCTAAATAACTGACAGGCAATCGATCGTACAAATAAACAATTGTCTGACCTATTAAATGACTGCCTCATAGACGAATAATTGGCTGGCTGACTGACACACATTGCTTCACAGACTGAATAAGTGACTAACTACAGGGTCGAAATTAAGCATTTGCACCTCTTCAGCTAGTTAGTAATTTCCTTGATACTGAAGTTTCATTTCCTCTTTCACAAAATCCAGCTGTTAGTTCCTATCCTGAATCAGTTCATTGCAATTCTTTATCTTTACGGGCAATTATCGTCCCTGTGAATATTGTCCTCTATCTACGCCTAGAACTTTTAGCTAGTTTCTTCGCATTCACATTTTGCTGAAACTTTGTATGCATTTATTTTTTTTCACTCTGGCTCACATGCTACCCTGTTTGTGGTTGAATCATCCTTGGCGAAAAGCACAAACAGTGAAGCTGATCATTATGCAATGTTTTCCATTGTTATTTCTTCTCCAAACATCACAGCACTTGTCTTAATTCGTCACTTGGAACGGGGGGGAGGGACTTCGGGGTGAGTGACAGAATCATTCAGTACCCATCTGTTGTCCTGTGCCTCCTGTGCTATGCGCGAGTGTTTTGTTCTGTGAATTCGTCTCACCAGCGCCAGTTGCTCTGCAGGCTCCGTGGTGGAAGGTTGTGGTTGCATGAAGGTCGAGTTGATAGGGATTGTACGGGTCTCCTCAAAGTGGTGCTGAAGTCATTCTTGGTAAGTCTCATTGGAGTAATTTGCTGACCTTAACGGGAACTCAATCGAAATTATAGTCCATAGTGGTCTGGCAGTGCTGCAGGAAGGATGGACATCACTGATGGTGGAGAAAGCAGATGTATTTCAGTTTGTTTCGTTACGCATATCGCTTTATTAATGTTTACCACAAACTTTGCACTGAGATTAATTAGAGTGGAGTGTTGTGCGCTTAATTACCAGACACGTTTCTTCTTAAATTCCACATATCTCATTAGTGTTGATGCCCATTACAAATAAAACCACAGTCTTAATTTTGATATTCGTTAAGGCCTCATTGCCTCTGACTTGTGTCTGGGACGTACGCAGTTCAGATCTTGGTGAGGATACCAACTTTTCAGGAACATTTAAACGGTCTTCCATGTTCCATCAAGACGAATGCAGGAGTATGCCTCGAGTTAGGCCATGACCTCTTCCTCTCCATTATTTTCAGTGTGATCCTGCCATATCACTCGACGGTAAATAAGCTATTGATATAGCCTCGTAAAATAATATGTGATCTATTTTCTTTCACTGCAAATGGAAGTGGATACTGGCTCTGATTTTAGATACATATCTAACGTTATAAATTTGTGTTATCATCCCCCATATATCTACTTACAAGTGTATGAAAAGAAAAAGAAAGAGTCGTGGTAACGTTTAGACGTATGAAAGATGAAGTCTGTAGGGACTGAAGGTTTCAGTAATGAGGAACTGGGCGAGTTATGCGTCTCGCCTACTGCAGTATTATTGGGTGACCAAATGAAGGAAGCATTGGGCCGATTTGACGGAGAATTGAGAAGGAGGCTGCTTGAACTGGCCAAGCAACCTGTTCGATAGCGGTCTTTGCTATCTACTGTGTCTAACCTTCGAGCTCCATTACTTGGGAGTCTGTATTTACTCCTAGTGTTGACACAGTACGGATGTGTTAGACCTAAGTCATGGGCAAAGATTTTGTTGTTGGTAAAAATGGTGAGCAGTACAGATAGGTCACTGCATAGAGGGATACATATACCTACTTTTTCATAGTTTATTTTGTTAAATAATGAATATATAGAAGAACTTAAGCAAAAGCTGCAGACTAACGAGATGGTTGTTAAAAATATATACATAATTTTGTGACGATGGTATATTAATAAAATTATTGTGTTTTTGGACATTATCCACCGTCCTGTTTCAAGCATTCAGAAGTTTATAAGGGGAGGGGATACGCAGACAACATGGTGATCTCGTAAGCCTGCTTCCCTTATTTTGAAAAGAAAAATGAAAGTAGGCTTATGCGATCTCCATGCTGTCTGTGTGTCTGTGCCCCCCCCCCACATTAGCTTTTGAATGGATGAATCAATCTGTGTGAAACCTGTATGTATATCATGGTACCTGAGCCAATCTCAACTTCATATAATATCCCTCCCACAAGTCTCTGTGTGTATTCCCCTATCGTTGCTGAGCAGTGGCTCGGTAAAACGTTCGCTGCAACGAATACACACGCAACACTAGATAAATTGTTACGCGTCATTTTCTATGCCGGCCGTGTCGTATCAAAGGAAAGTGCCAAGAATGTTTAGCTGATCAAGTAGGTGATTAGTTCTTCCCAGAACTTTTTGTTTCCAAGTAAGGAAATTAGACTAAAAAGGTAAACATGGAATACCATTTTATATAAAAAGTAAAATGTATTTCAAGAGATGTAATGTATGTAACAGCTGAAAGTTAGGACAGTTTAATTGGAAACTGAAGTTTAAATTTATTACTTACTTTTTGTTTAGCAAATGACTTAAAATAATTGTTTTAATAAAATATGTAACTGCCCATGTTACCCATGTATATGGAGGTATTTTGGAATGGTGTTTTGTATTACCAGTCCTGCTCAAATAAGCATGAAAAACATAAAGTCTTTATACTATGGATAGTATTCACATGGAAACATCAAATGAAAGAAAATCTCAGGCACGCTTTTCAACTGTGAAGATAATTACATACAGAAATTCACACATATTCTGATTCTTCACATTACAGTAGTCAGTGCATGCCCAGCCTGTACGGATTAAATATATAACGTGTAGAACCGTTTCTAGGCAACGGCTCGGTAAACACGTTCCCGCGGCAACGGATACGCATGCAACAGTAGAGGTACTCTTGGAAACATTTTTACTCGATCCGTGTAATGGGGTTATGATGAGGACAATTGAAGCAAGTGGAGGCGGGGCCGAATACCTCCACCGTGACCCTGCTAGTCATAGGAGGCGACGAAATGGAAGTCTCAAGTCTGAGACAGTAAAATGTGGCCGCGAGTCCCAAGGGACTCGGACCCGGGGAAGACTGCGCTGGCAAGGACCAGCAGCATGTACAAAATACAAACCCATCCTCTCGTGACAGAGGGCGCTCCACAGTAACAAGACCATAACTGTCAAACAGTAATAAATTGGGCTCGACACCAAAACTTACTGACTGATTGACTGACCGTCAGTCCCAATGTGACTTTGACAAGAATAGGCAGTTGAAAGGGAGCTGCCGTTCAGAGACGACTTGTGCTTGGAAGCAGAGGAATAGCCATTGTTAGAAGCCGTTACCAGGAAACGTCTAATGATGACTCGCTGGGAAAGTCTTGGCGTGATTTTATGAAGTGTAGAAATAGCAATAGTATTTTAGTTATTTGTAGTTACTACCTATAAGTGGTCAATAAATCCAGTATCCAATCGAATCCAAAATCCCGTCCATAATCACCTTAACACATGACAGTATGAACCATTCTCTCCTGAGACAATGCCGGACAACTTTCCAGTAGAGTACGAACACGTTGCATCATTATTCGGGTCGACAGATTCCTCAACTCTGTCTTTATCATTCGACGATTGGTCATCAGAACCGGAAGAGCGGTCCTTTCGTTTATCGACGTTTAGCTTTCTTCTGGAGCCGGAAAGCTCATTCGAAACAGTGACTAGGCTACGTGCTGGATCGTCGGGTTTCGATTCGTGGCAGAGGCAAGAAGTTTTTCTCTTCTCCATAGCGTCCATACCGGCTCTGGAGACCGCCCAGCCTCCTGTCCAGTGGGGGACGGGGTTTTATCCCCGCTGATAAAGCGGCAGGGACGTGAAGCAAACCACTTACTTCCATCCTGTGCCGGGGTCAAGAATGGTGGAGCAGCAGACACTGAACCAGTTCTTCCACATATTTGAAAGCGTTATTTTGTCAACAGAAATTTTCATAGCTTCAATAGGAAATAAGTTTGTTGTCACAGACAACATTCGGAGAGTAATCCGACACACATGGAGCAGTTCTCAGGATTTCGTTAATCCCGTCAAATTTACTCTGACGACTGTTTCTGTCATTTTAGTAAGATTATATCGTTTTAGGCCGCGCCATAGCTCAAGAGGTTAGTCGCTGGCCCAGGTTCGAGCCAGGGCATGGTCATGTCGGATTTGTGGTGGACAAAGTGGCGCTGGTGCAGGTTTTCTCCGAGTACTTTGGTCTCCTCTGCCAATGTTCATTCCACCAATTGCTCCACAATCACCCTCACATATCATCTGGGGCTGTTACAGTAGGCCAGAATTGGCCGAGGTACTAAGTGGCCTTAGTCCCACCCCACTAAGGAAAAAAATTCAATCGTTTCTTCCTTTTCCTTCTCCGTGCTTCAGTCTACTTATGAGAGTAGCCCTGTCTGGTATAAATTCAAGTAGAACCATGTAGGCCTGCCCAAAAATAAGCAAATCTCTTATTTTAATTCTGTGTGTAAATTGAAGCGAATTTCAAACGTCGAGAAAAACGATGATTGCTATGGATGAAACGATGAGCCTAATTCGAGAAAACCTGCCTTCATTTTGTTCGTGACTACCGCTGGAGCCATCGGGATTTTGGCCAGCGACCTAAGCACTGGTAGCACAGAACCTAACCTCTTGAGCCACGTTGGACATAAATTAGGCTATATACTGTGCTTTACTTAAGTGGGGACAAGTGTTTAACATTAGAAACTAAAATTTAATAGCCTTTGGTTTTATTATTGAATGCAGTCTTATTTCTATGATATTATACATACAAATTATTTTCCAGACACTTCAGGCGGTCTTGAACATTCTTCCATATTACCAGCATGTAAGGGTTCTGTAGTATCCAACGCCATCTTGAAACTGAAGGTCACACAAAGACGTGAGAAAGGCGCGTCATAAAGCAATGTGACTTTTCTTGAAGTAGGATGTTTTGTGTGTTGTGTCTGTATTATAATTAAAAACAGAGATATAGCATGGGAACTGTAAAATGATATTCCCCTATCTGGAAACGTTTAGGAATACTTCGAAATTTTCTCAAGTACGCGGTACCAGACACGACGGAAATTACGTCTCTGCGACGTCAGAAAGCTATGTCGGAAGTAATGTTTCACACCATTGACCGTACAAGGAAGCACACACCTCACTCAGCGCAAGGATCTTTATTATTATTTTTTGGCGTGTGTTAAGACTGAGTCTACATGGTACGTCGGCCACTGTTTGGCCTATTGTACTAGCCCCGGATGATAGATATGATGGTTGTGTAGCAGTCGGTGGAATGAGAATTGGCAGGGGAACCGAAGTACTTTGAGAAAACCTACTCCAGTGCCACTTTGGCCACCACAAATCGCACATAGCCTGACTGGGATCGAACCCGGGTCGCCGCCGTGGGGAGCCGGCGACTAACCGCCTGAGCTATGGCACGGCCTTGTTTGTTATTAACTGCACATTCGAGATGTCTCTTCTTTTATCTGCTATAGCGTCTAATAGTAGGATGATGAGTGAATAATAAATTGGAAAGATGTGGTTGGACGCAGCCGTGGCCTAATTAAATGATATATCCTGGCATTTACGTGGGAAAATGAAGTAAACCACAAAAAGTCTCAGGACATCCGGAGCCCTGGTCGAGATTAGAAAACAGCACCTTCCGAGTACAAGCTTGCTCGGTTTGTTGACTGCTGTTCTAGGTTTATCCAGTAATGCTTTGTCATTTGCGTTCTCTGTATA